GACACCACAAATTATCTGCCCTACCCACCTGCTAGCGACATGTAAGGAATCTGGGCGCTACAAATTATTTGCTCTCATTTGATGGTGATCCTTAAGGAATCTAGGCACTACATATCATCTACTTTACCCACCTGCTAACGACCCTTAGGGTCACGGGCGCTACAAATTATCTGCCCCCACTTGCTGGCGGCCCGTAGAGTTACACAAGCTACAATTTATCTGCCCTACCCACCTGCTAGCGACATGTAAGGAAACTGGGCACAACAAATTATTTGCCCTTCTCAGTGGCGACCTGTAGGGTCACCTAGGCGCTAGAACTTGCCATACTCACTTGCTAGCGACCCATAGGGTGGCTATCTGCAGAGAAAGCATGGTAATTGAAAAATTTTCCCATGATCTCGCATGATTGTGGCAGAGCTTCCGAAATGGTAGGGCTTTCTGAATGATTTGTGAAGTTTATCGCTACTCGAGTAGTTCCCCTTTTTGAAATGTTTTTTACAAATATGTTTTCATAAAAGAAGCAATGTGTGTGTAGAAACAATTGTAATCACTAATAAACCTGGTACAGTGCTGGACAAAATCATAGGTCCACTTTAAAAAATGCCATAACTCACTTTGTTCTCAATAAAATATTCCAAAATTTGGTACAGTCGTGTGTTTACCAGCTTAATATCAGTCATCAAACGGTCTCGTTTTCGTATGGTTATTCAAGAAAAAAGTCAAAAATTTTTGAAAAAAAGCAGGCTTGAAGGCTGGTCAAAATTACAAGTCCATCTGAAGTTTTTACTGATTGAAACACTTCTTAGCTTCCGACTTTTTAATTGTGTGCACATTCAAAAGCGTTGAACAGTTGCCTTAGTCAAGCTGTGGCACACCTCCAAAAAGATTGATTATCTCCTTTTTTGCCTTGAAAATGCTTTCACACGTATTTTGCTCTAGAAATCTGCGTTGAGCAAACAATTCTGCAGTTTCTCAGCTGGATCGGAAGCGACGGGTTTCATCTCCCTTCTAGATGCTTTTCGACGTGATCACTAAGGAAAACAACGACTTTTTGCTGCTGAATCAAATCCGACGACTTAATCGGGAGCCTAAGCCTCAGTTTCTGCCCTAAAACCCTTTATGCGTTATCATTATAACCTCACAATATTGTAAGAGCATTTTTTACACGAAAGAAAAGTGTACGCCATACTCACAATTTATCACAAACCTCCCCTTCGTTTCTTTTTCGGAACTCGAGTTGTGCAGCGTAATGATGGTGTTACTCACTTTCAAAATAGCTTGCCAAGTGCTACCTCACTTAGATTTTTGACAGTGATTTATTTACTGGATAGCGGATACAGCTTGTATTGTACGTTAGCACAAGATTCTCCTGAAAAATTTGATCGAAGCCACAATTAGCTTTGGTGCTTCTCGCATCCAGTTTCTGCAGGGTGATTTTAGTAACTATATTTGAGTGCTAGGATCCCTACAAAGAGTGTAACCATGAAATAACTCCTCTTCGTAGAAACAATGCCTTTACTGTAGTTAATGCTTCTGAGGACATCTCAAATGAAGTTTGAAGGCAGAAATTTGAGCTCAGGATTGCAGTAATGTCGATGTCGGATTTGTGTCGGTAGTAAAAAAGTCAGACTTTTTCCTCAATGCTCACGTCAAAAAGCATCCAGAAGGTGGACGAAACCTCGTCGCTTCCAATCCAGTTGAGAAACTGCAGAATTTCTTACTCAACGCAGGTTTGTGGAGCGACGTGAAAGCATTTTCAGGGCAAAAAAAAGCAGATAATCAGTCCTTTTGGAGGTATGACACAACTTGACTAAAGCAAATGTCCAACACTTTTGAATGTGCACATACCTAAAAAAAAGTTCGAAAGCTAAAAAGTGCTTTAATCAGTAAAAACTCCAGGTGGACCTGTAATTCTGCTTTTTTCAAAATTTTTGATTTTTTCTTGAGTAACCATACGAAAACGAGATCCGTTTTGATGACTGATAGTAGGCTGGTAAATATTGACAACAGAGTGAGTTATGGCATTTTTTAGTGTGGACCTATAATTTTGTCCGGCACTGTATTATAGTTGCTCCGACCCACTTGCTAGCGACCCGTAGGGTCGCTAGTATATAAAGAAACGCAAGCACAATTCAAAAATCGGCAAAAAGCGGGAAACCGCATAGCGGTCCCGAAGCGAACGCTCTTGCAAATAGCACCTTTAGATAATTGGTTCACTAGTTGGCAAGATAAGCGCTGTTGAGGATTAAATAATGGGATACAAACTCGCAGATACAGGCTATGTGTATTCGAGAAATCGTTGTAAGACCATGCCAATGCTTTCTATTGGAAGCTGGAGAATGTAGCAAAGATAGCACATGGCAGAACGGGATTTTGCGACTTTCTATTTTCTGGTAGTACATAATGTACAAAAGATTACAAATTCTGAGGGGATTATACCCCTATTGTGTCCTTTTGTCGTCTCTTTTGCTCGCATGCTTAATAGAAATTGAGCACATCAATAGCTTTATAAAAACAGAAACTTTTCAAAGCAGAAACTGCTATTTACTTTTTTCCTTCAGTACAACATCGCTGCATGATGCGATAAATAAGAGATTGAAGAGATAAATCGCCAAATGGGATAAATTTAAGGGAAGGTCTGCCATTTCCAAAAGCACATGAACAACATAGAAATTGGAAATCCACATTTTCACTTTGTTCCAACTAAATTTTTGGGAAAATACTTTGGGCAATTCTGTCTAGTCTAAAATTACTTGGCGGCTGATTTGCGAAAAGTCTAGTGCAGCGATTGCTACATAATGAAAGGCTTTAGACGATTGTTCATGATCGTCATGGTCCAAGCATCAAGTTCACTAGCCATATAGAGTTGCGCCAGTGCGAGGATGGTAAGCCACCTGTTCAACTTTCAGGCCATTGTTTTTTTTTTGTTCAGAATTGGATCTACGAAATGGCGTTAGACGATGAACACTGCGGTTTTGATTCTCTGATACTATCAACACCTTAATGGACCCAAATTAAGATAGCCATGAGCAAAAGACTTTTGGCGTTGTAAGGGAAAGATCTAGAGTAAGTGAAAATAATGCATTTATACGGTATACCAAGCAGAGCCAAATTTGCCTGGCATTGTCCGATTTCTTCCACGGCATCAAAATATTGGTCTCCGCGTTGTCAAGGACAGCTTTTGCGGAGTTTGCAGTTTACATTATCTATTTTGTTTTGAGGAGCGCAATTACAGTATGCGCAGTTTCTCGTTATGGACTAATCTGCGAACTAATTGTGCCACACGCTTCTGAAAACGCAAGCAAGCAAATAGGAAGGTATTATAAACATTGTGAGACACGTGAGTCCCAAAAGCTCTACCGTTTCGACCTATAGTAAAATCATGTTGCATTAGACAAACGCCTCAAGCAAAGCAGCCACTTATGCTACTGAACCGGCTCCTCTCATTGTCATTGAAATAGTCGTTAAGGTTAAGAATCTCTCAATTTTACATGCATAACTTCAGATAATTTTCAAAATAATTACGCCAGGCTTGCAAAGTTAATTTAGGGAGCAGATAATGCAGGCCTTCTGCAACATATCTACACTTTCTGTCTCTCCAACTTTGTTTAGAAAATACCAAAATTTCTCGTTAATGCTCACTTTTGCAAAACTGCATAGTACGTGATCTTATCAAGCTCTAACGAATCCTTGAAATTTGCTTGTACACTTGATTATTGTCGAGCTACTTCTAATATGAGCGCCCACCATTTCAAACTATCAAAATTTCGATTTCTATTCGTCTATTTTGTCTGAGAAGCTTCAATTTCAAAAAAAAAAACAGCTGCCAGATAATAAAAGACCTGCAGCGAATGACATCTACATAGTTGCACACCTTTTGATATTTCTGTGAGATTTATTGACGAAATGAATTTGGACAAACCAAGGAATTGGGCACTTTCAGCCACTCCATAAAGCCGCCCGGAGAAAGTATCTCAACGAACTTATATCATCATCTTACATTAAGATCACGTACATATTACGCAATTTTGCGAAAGTAAGCATTTTAGAAAAATCTCGGTTTTTCTGAACGAAAGAGAAACAGAAAGTGTTGATATGTTGCAGGTCTGCTTTATCCGCTCCCAGAAGTTCACTGGGTTTATGTCAAAAGGCGCGATTTTTATTGCTAGCTGTACAGCAAATAGCACATATTTAGTGTTTTATAACGTTCTGAAGTATTCTAGAGTTTAGGGGAAATGTACTAGATGGTTGCACTAATTCGGTCTAACTGTTCCAGAATCAATTCAAAATAAAAATATTGGATGTCAAAAATTCATAAAAAGCAATTGGTGACATATTTGTATTTATTTTGGTCGGACTTTCAGCAAAGCCTTCAAATTTGGCAAGTGTTAACTTCACATAGGTAGTAAGCCAATGTACTTTATCTGGTGCTTTTTGAAGACTTGCCTAAACTTGAGATTTGAGGATTTTAAGGGTAGCACAATTTTTCGAATCAAGCTGCAACAGTATGCCAGGTTCCCAATCGGTTATTATGGTAAAGGTGTGGAGATTAAAGATTACTATCTGTTTTTCTCGCAGCCTTTGTTAGTGGTTCCTGGACCATCCGTTCATCGTTACAAAAGAAGTGTGAAGAGAGCCACTCAAACGATATTTGCTCTCATATTTCCTTCAATTTTGTAACCCCCAGAATCACGTTGCATAGCAATCGATGTTTGTGGAACAGTTTAATGCAAACATAATACTTCAGGAACGATCATCTGCACTGCGGTTTGAATTATGTGGCGCACATTTGATGTGGAGTTTATCTGCGTAAGATCAGTAACCCGCTTGTAATTGCATACTCAAAACAGTCAAAACCACGCAAATGATGGTGCGACAATAGCTGTAGCTGGACAGTGAGGCGAAGCTTCTACGAACAACGTTGGTGGTCGTTTTTCAAGCATGGTATTCTGCACACGGAAAAGTGCGACACGTGTGCCTTCTTCGGAAATCATGCATCTTTAGGATCTGTGGACAATATTGCTGACTAGGCGACTTAGGACAACAGTGCCTAGAAAACATAAAATCACATCTATTCGGCTCCAATTTATCTATGTTCCCTATTATGCACTAACCATGCGTCCATAGAAGGAAGTTTTCGCATGTTTGCAAGCGGTTTACCTCTCCTGCTTCTGACTTGAACTTGTGGCCTGAAGAACATATATGACTCAATGGGTTTGAGTTCCATTTACTCCAAAATATTCAAACCTTAGTTAAAATTGACTAAGTCGCGGAAAATATCAAAACCCACCAATGCATATACGTAACCACCCGCATAGGCATCCACAGAGAGGAGCTTGGTTATGTCTCCAAACACGACGTTCCAAAGATCTTCTAGAACACATCTTCGAGATTTTCCAATTCCTATCTTCATGACTTCTTAATAGAAGAAAATAATTCATGAAAAAAGATGCGTTTATCTCGTTTGTCACCAACTGTAGCTGTTCCTCTTGTGGTACGTGGTCTGCCTTCTGTGCTGTGTGAGTTTGCATCGGTCTCGTTCCTACGACGCCCTCAAACGCAAAAAAAAACATTATTCTACTCTTCACACCTTTTGCACGAGCCAAACTTTCAACAGTTTTGCCTTCACTTTGGCTGCATTGAGATCACCAGACCGGTTTCATGCTGGGCTCCAGCATGGAGCCAGAAGAGTGTGACACTATGCATTCGCAGATCAGCCCATCACGGGATAGTGCGGATGCGGTTATTGCGTCTCTAAATCAGCAAAGAAACTTAAACTATAAAATGTCATTTATTCATGAAGCGAGATGCTGAAACTATAATGGCAAATTTTGGCAATGAGAGACAGAAAAAGACGATGCTGCGTTATTTGTATAACGAAATAATTGATTTTTGTCCAAACATCAGCTGTTCTTCTCTAAGCTGTCCTGATCCTTCGCATCGGTCCACTGAAACCTAGACAATCTCACATTATCCAAACCGCAATGTGCAGCATCTGATGCCAGCTCGTAGATCCAATTCGGCCTAATTAAGGCCGCTCGCGCCTGCGACGCAGTTTGCGTCTCTCTCGCGCGTGTGCTCTCTGATCATTACCTAGCCTTAATTAGGTCACGAAGCCCCGCCTTCACGAAGCCAAGCCAGTTGAATCAAATGCTACAATCTCTTACAATGGTGGTTTTACTCACATTTGTGAAAAAATTTTCCTTAAATTTATCTCATTTGGCGATTCATCTTTTCAATCTTTCATTCATCGCATCAAGCAACAATGTTGTACTGAAAGAAAAAAGTGGATAGCATCTTAGATTTGCCTTAGAAAGTTTCTGGTTGTATAAAGCTATTGAGGTATTGTACTTGATTTCTATCAAGCATGCGAGCAATAATCTGTATTCTTTTGTAAGTACTGAACTATCCTTTCAAAAGCTAATATGAACCAGGAACCAGGAAATGGAAAGTCGCAAAATCAGTTTTGCCACCTGCTGTCTTTGCTGCATTCTTCAGCTTCCAATAGAGGACGCTGACGGTCTTGCAACGAGATCATGATTTTACATTCTCCTGTATCTGAGAGGTTGTATTTCACTGTTTAATCCGCAATAACGCTTGTCTTGACAATTTCACATGTCTCGTCACCAGTGATGTTCAAGAAACAGCTCCATCTTCGATTCGTGACAGCCAGCAAACTATTGTTTGGTCTTCATTTCGCAAAGCTACGGTAAAACTTCCAGCACACCAATTTTCGATGCAAAATTCCCAGTGTATTCGGCAATATTTATACATCTTTGTCGAATTGTTTTGATGAGATCGAGAAAAACCAAAAATTGCTGCTATGTCACACCAAATTTGACCTTTAAGAAGTAGGATAAACTCAAAACTCAACTCACTTTCTTGATTCACTGCCCTTTTATACTTTGTGGTCTTTATGAGAGGAGGTTTCGGATTTCAGTATCATAAAACCATTTGTTTTTACCTTTATCTTGCTGAAAAAAGATCGGTTGTAATTTACTGTATGCATCCAGTGTGATAAGCTGTCGCTAGCACACTGACTATGTATGATGATAAAGCAAGAGATTGTCTTTTCCAGTGGGAACTTCTGAAAACGAATTAAGATTTTGAAATTCATTCATGTAAGCGCATGGTTAACTAAGTCAGCCTAAACCTAAGCAAACAAACGCAAACAGCGTCGCTCGTTGCCTTTGATGCAGTTTTTGCAAGATTGAAAAGTCCAACGCTACGTTTCCGTATCCTATTTTTGGACTTATTACCAATTTGCTATTTGATCTCTCACACATTATGTACATGGTGCTACAATTAACGCCATTATTGCCATGAGTATCCTGCACTTAAAGGCAGTGTCCGGGCAAGATGGGGGTTTTGAGATTTCTCTGCTATGTGAGACTGGCACCCCTGAGACACAACATCGCGCAACTGCTAGCATAAAACGTTCGACCTAAAGCAAGAAAAACAATTGCAAAGTGGGGAAACTTACACTGTATTATAGATCCCAACTGGTCATCGACTTGGAACAGTAGTCAAAACCAGGCGTAGAGGGATTGCGCAGCTGCTGTGACTGCACAAACTTCGCTAAAAATGTCTGGCTGAGGTTGTCCTTCAGAAAGGATGGAAATCAAGTGGTGCGCACTTGCATATGCTGAAACTGAGAATTCAAAAAAGTACTCAAAGTTGAAGTTCAGTAATCATAATGAACCAATGACGATCAAAATTGGGATTTCTATGTTTTCGAGGTCCTCCATTTCATTAACAAAGTCTGTTTTGCGTAAAAGGCCAGGACACAATTACGAACAAACTTTAAACATCAGAATTTAGCGGTTTGAACTGGAGACGCCTGTTCTCAAACTTACATCAGTGGGATAAAACTAGAGACTTGCCTGTATTTGAACACGGTGCGTGTACTCGATTACATGTTTTCCCTCTTCCGCGTTGCAAGGTCATGACCTCATAAAGGTTTCCTTCGAGCAGAATGCCGCAGGCACATTAAGGTTCTAACGTACATCTTGGCTACAAGCTATATATCTGTTGGCGCGGCCTTGTCGGTCACATATCCATACATGATTAGTGATGTCGTATAAAATGTCTATGTGTACTGGCATGAACTCGTTATCTAACCATTCACTTTGAACATATTACTGAACTTGAACTTAGATTTTGAAAAGTTGTTTGAAAAAAAGTGCTTTTTGTGCTTTGTTTTGCGAACAATCATAGCTATGCAGAAGAACAACCTCGAACACATATACTCGCCGCCAATCCCTAAGTTACATTTGCAATGTAGAAATCCCAATTTTGATGGTGATTCATTACGATTACTGAACTTCAACTTTGAGTACTTTTTTGAATTCTCAGTTTCAGCATATGCAAGTGCGCACCACTTGATTTCCATCCTTTCTGAAGGACAACCTTAGCGAGACATTTTTAGCGAAGTTTGTGCAGTCACAGCAGCTGCGCAATCCCTCTACGCCTGGTTTTGACTACTGTTCCAAGTCAATGACCAGTTGGGATCTATAATACAGTGAAACGCCTCGGGGCGGGGTCCTCCGAGCTGTTTGAATTCCTGCCAGACGGCAGAGTACGTATGCCGCCACAGTTAAAAACCGTGCGCTCTTTGCAACTCTGCGTCTTAGCCTGGCGGGGATCCTCAAATTTCGAAATGTAAGGGCTTGGAAAATGCATGGTTCTCGCCGTTTTCGTGCTTTCTGATATGGATTTTCGGATTTAGCGTTGCAGATAACCCCAGATAAGTTGATTTTTTAAAAGTCGAGTTTCTGCCCGGACACTGCCTTTAACAAGAACTATTTTAGACTAGCCCAACAAGTACGACTTTCACTCACAACAGCTATTCATAAAGGTATTCACTCACTACAGCTGATCATCTGTCCCTGAGAAACTAATAAAGTGAGAAAATTACGCAATATCAATAGCCACCCACCACAAACTTTTTGAGCGGAACTAGCACATTGCACTTTGCTTCTTTCTTCTCTTTGGATTAGACAGAGGGAGAAGATACCGTCTCTCGACCGGTGTGAGAGCTGTAAATAGCTGTCACTCAGTGGCGATCCCAAGATTTCTACCCGGTAGGGAAGGGGGAGGGGAGGGGGAGGCAAAAATCTTTTTCTGATGAACGTATGTGGCATTAGCCGAAAAAAATTGAAAAAATACTCCGATAAAATTTTTGGGTGCTTTTCAAAATTTTTGCGCGCTTGCCCTCAAAAAATTTTTTTACAAGGTTGACTCGAATTTCTAAGGATTTTTGAAAAGTATTTCAATATTACAAAAATAAACAAGTCACTTGGTGCAGTAGCACACTCGGCACTACTAGTTGGTGTTCAATCAATGATTAACCTTAATTGGAATGTGTTGGAGGAAAAGTCAACGCACATTAAGTATTCAGATTAATACCTTTACTCTAAGAAACATTCGCTTTCTCTCTTACTTGACAAATCTGAGAATGAAGTTGAATGCGAAGACAAAAAACTTGCAATCCATAGGGTAATCACAAACATCAATCTCAGAAGAAAATATGAGATAAGGATGTATGACTCAGCACAAAGACCGCGAGGTCCTAAGAAAAGGAACTATGAGACCAGTGCACAAATCTCAAACTCAAAAAATTTGTTGCTGTCCGTAATGCCGCTAAACTCCAGCAACTTTTTCCACCTTTCCAAGTGATGTTTGCAGAAGTTACTCTTTGTAATAAATCAAATAATAATCGAAGACTAGAGCCAATGTTGTGCTATGTGCAACTCTATTTTGACTAATGAATCAAATTTTCCACTGGTTGATACCTATTTGCAGCTCTGACACGTAATTCGCTTTATCAGTTTCTAAGTGAGAGAGCTGTAGTGAGTGAACAGCTTTATGAATAGCTGTTGTGAATGAAAGTCGTACTTGTTGGGCTAGTCTAAAAAGTTTTTGTTAAGTGCAGGGTATACTTGAGACCGAATCAAATAATTATTCGATCATTCGAATAAATCATTCGAATGCGAATGATTCGAAAAGTCGAATATTCGAAAATCTGAGATTTCGAATGAAATTCGAAAGTCGAATATTCGAAATTTTTTGTTTTCGAATATATTCGATAATCGAATATTCGAAAATCTTCATTTTCGAATATTATTCGAAAGTCGAATATTCGAAAATCTTGAATTTCGAATATTATTCGATAGTCGAATATTCGAAGGTCATTTATTCGATCATTCGATGTCCATCAAATATTCGAATATTCGTCGAGCACCGAATATTCGATAATTCGATAAGAAATGACAATTCGAAAATTCAGTAGGCGCCGAATATTCGAGAATTCGATATGCATAGCGTATACGGGGTGTCTTAAAAGTATCTACACACCGTTTGATCGCTAATAC